AACCTCAAACTGAAGAAATTACCCTTATTAAATTTAATTTGGTTAACAAATTGGAGAAGTGTAAAATCATACACTTAAGTCATATCACACACAAGACGTCTCCACCCTTAATAAAAATACACTGAAGAATTTTTGCCAATACAAAAACATTATAGACTTAGAAACTTGCAAGTATTTACCAAATTTTCACCAGATTTATTATAAGATACTGGAGTACAGAATAATTTTAACGGTAAGACTTCTGGTAGCGTGCACGGGCACCAGGTCCACCAAACTTCTTGGACTCGCAGCGACGAGGATCTGCGACCAGCAAAGTCCTATCGTACTGGATTAAGATGTCTTTGATTTCCTTCTTAGATGCTTCATCAACATCTGAAAAAGTAAGAGATTGCGTCTGTGTGGTTCTATGAACTTCACACAGAATGGGTATACACATATGTAGCACTCTGTGTTATAGCTCAGAAGCTATGTATTTACTTCTGGACCAGCAGAACACAAATCGGAAGAACAAACTTACATTTCTGGTAGTAAGCCACCAATGCTTTGGAAATAGCTTGACGAATAGCTGTTGAGGAAAAAGAAAGTTAGTAACGCTGAATTCAGGCTTGTAAAGTAAGAGGAAAGTATAAAATATGGCAAAGTTTTTTTCCCCCTACTGAGAGAAGCTTGTAAGCAGAATGCCCACACTGTGCGACACAAGCTTGAAGTTCCATCCATGCATTTAACCATCATCTTTGAAAAGGGGCATGTAAACCAATGCGAGGGGCAACGATTTTCTGGGGTGGTATTTTTTTTATTGAACCATGTGCATAGTTGGGAGAAGTTTCAGCAGTGAAGCCTGGGAACTCCTGGTATATCTGTAATTGCTCCTCTACCCTATACTTCCCTTTTCTATCACCACTAAAAAAAACTAATAGATTTGAATAACTGTTACAAAAATTAATTAGATGAAGTTTAGGGTTAAAACATTCACCTGCTCCCTATGTATCTTTAAATCAGGTTATTTTACTTATTCAGGCACAACCCAACAGACCAATAGTTGTGAAAATTAAACTGTTTATGTAATGCAAGTAAGTTGAAAACAAAAGTTCCAATTTTGTTATTTTTGAGTGATTTAGAATGAAACTAACTGCTTGATTTATTCCAAAGGTTTGAAGATATTTGTTGAACTTGATCTGTAGGCTAATAATAAAACATATAACATCTAGCAGTTTCAACAGCTTTCCTTCTCGAAATCCATTGTTCTGATCAAGTTGAAGCATACTGCCAGAAGTTTCATAACTCCCTATCTCCATAAAATTCAAAGAATGTCACATAGTGACACAGTTAAAAAGATACAATCAACAACCTGCTCAATTTCAAAGCTGTATATTTAACTACTAAATTATAGTCAATTCCAAGGATATAGTCTAAACAGCATGGTCTAAATAATATCCACAATAAGCGGTTTGATTTATTCCAACCCATAAGAAGTATCACATGCATGGGTCCTACCGTAGATTTGTGCTACGTGGCCACCACCCTTAACACGGACTCTGATGTCAACTCCAGCAAAGCGTTCTTTGCCCAGGAGAAGAACAGGTTCAAGCAGCTAAAACAGACAAAAAAAAATTAAATTTTATAATAAAAAAAGAAGTACATACATAATCCTCAGATCCAGTTTTTTCAATAAGTTATTTCAACTTTGCAAGTAAGAAGTTACAAGACTTTCTAAAAGGGGTCAACCACACCAAACCACCTGGGGGGGG